CGCTCGCCCACGCGCGCGGGGGGGGCGACGCCCCACACGCAAATCTCGGCCGCGCTGGCGCCCTGCAGCAGCCGTCCTCGCCCGTCGTCGGTGCTCGCCGCGACGGTGGAGACGGTAGCTGTCCGGCGGCGCGGCTGCAGCTCGGCCTCTTCCGAGCCGAGGTCCTCTTCGGTCCACTCGGCGCCGGACATCCAAGCGGGCGCCCTCCGCTTGCGCTTCCCGCCCTCCAGCGCCTCGTGCTTCGCCGCGCCCTCGCGGCTTCCCTCCCGGTGCTTGTTGAGCACGATGCCGACCACCCGCCGCACCGCCCCCGTCGGAGCACTCCCCGCCGGCAGCACCGCCTGCACCGTGGCGCACTTGACCGGCGCGCCGGAGTCGACCAGCTCCGGAGGCAGCGAAGTGGCGTACGGAAGCGCCGGCGGGCGTACCGGCTGCGGCGCCGACCCAGCCCGCCCCTCGCCGCCCTCGGCCGCCGCGTCTCCGCCCCGCTGGCCGGCGCCCCTCCTCCTCTCGCGCTCGTCGCACCGCCGCTCGTCGCCGCGGTGCGCACCGGAGAAGGGCGGCGAGGCGCTGCGCCGCGCGCCGTCGCCGTGCCCGCCGCCCCCGTTGGCGAGGGGGAGCTCCCCGCGCCGGCCCCCGTCGGCCTCGCGCCGCGCCCGCTCCCTCTCGCCGCGGGGCGGCCGGCCGTGCTGCGCCGCGGGCTTGCCGTCCGAGTCTGCCGCCGCCTGCGGGCGACACGGGGGTGCCGGCTCGGCCAGGGACGAGCAGGGGTGGCTGGGTGGGTCGGGTGGAACGGCGAGCGGCGCGCCCGTGGCTGGCGCTGCCCCACCGGCCGCGCGCTGCCCGGCGCCAGGACGCGCGCCACCTCGTCGTTGTTGCGCATGATGGCAGTCGGCCTCCGCACGCGCTTGCGCTCCTGCTCGTCGGCCAACTGCTGGCGCCGCACAGCAACCTGCAGCAACGCCTGCCGCCGCGCCACTAGTGCCTCGTGCGCCGAGGTCGAGAGCGAAAGCGCCATGTCCCTGAGAGCGGTTGGAGGCATATCAAAAACCAACGATTGCGGGTCAGAGGTTGGCGGGCGCGGCGCACCACTTTCGAGCGCTCGGAGGCGCCTCGCCGTGCGCGATCAACGCGCGCGGCATCTCGAAGCCGGCACCCTCGATCACCGCGTCCGAGGGGTAGCACGGGAACGTCAAGCTCTCGTATGCCGACATGGTTCGCTGCCGCGCCGTGCTGTCGGCGCCGCGCCTCGAGGGCGGGAGATCATGGGAGAGCCGCCTCGGCTCCAGTGGCCCGTCCTCCTCCTCCCCCTCCCCCTCCTCCATCACATCCTCCCCCGCCTCCGCCACCTCCTCGCCAAAGGGCGCCTGCTCCATCGGCGAGCTCGCAGCGTTCACGGACCAAGTGTGAAGCCACACCCCTCGGCGCGGCGAGCCTCAAGGCCTTCTGCATGGCGTACGCGGTCATCATGCGCCGTCCCAGGTTCGAGCGCACTCGCTCGGACGCCGCCGTCATCGAAAGGGGGGCTATCGCGGCCTCATCGCCGAGGGCTCTCCGTGACGCTCTCGAGGAGATGCTTCGCGAGGGGGGCGACCGTGAGAAAGGAGACGGCGACGGCGAAGACGGCGGCGGCGGTGGGAACGCCGAAAACGCGCTCGCGCCGCGCAGCCAGGCGAGCATGCACTCGCGCTGCCTTCGCCGCGGACGCGGCTCGGCGAGGCCAAGAAGGGCCTCCAGGAGCTGCAGCCCGCCGAGCGAACGCCTATCCAGGGCACACCTGGAATGTGAAGAGCGCAAGCTTCCGTCCCGTACACCCTTTCAAGGCGTCCACCTCTTGGACGGTGGGCAGGATCTCCGACGCGGGGAGCGTAAAGCCGCCCTGTCCGGACGACTGCGGCCTCAGCTCAATCAGCCAGCTCCACGGCTGGCCGTACTCCTCGAACATATGGTCGCCTAACATTCGCGGCACATCCAGGTGAGCACGGGGTTCAATCCCCGCCGGTGGCGTTGCTCCTGTCTCAGTTTTGCCGGCAGTACCGTCCGCCGAATAGGACCAGTCAGCGGCCGTCCAATACTGGTAGCCTGCTTACACGGCAATTTTGGTGTGAGGGAGGGCTCTAGCTCCGCGGGTGGCGCCGCTCCAGCACAGTGTGTGGTGCCATAGCCATCAATCGAGTTCATGGCGTCCACAATCTTTGGTCCGGCGACGTTTTGCTGCGCGGAGATGGGCGAAATGTCGGCCGTCGCATCGTCGTATCGACCGCTCACGACTGCGGAGTAGGAGTGAACGTCGACAAAGAGTACTAGGCCGGAGGTGGCTTCAATCTCGTCTGCAACGGCCATGACGGCGCGCGTCTCTGGCTCGCTCCCCGGAGATGGGCCTCGGTACGTCTGCGAGGAGGAGCCCACGTTGCCGGAGGAGCAGCGTCGCCACTGGCTGCAGCTGTTCCAGTGGCGAGGGAAGTTGCGGTTCAAGTCGACACCGAAGTAGCTGCCCGGCCGCCGGTTGGTGCGAAAGTACCGGTTTCCTTCCGGCGCGTGAGAGAAGGCGTAGCCGTCCGGGTTGACGACCGGCATGATGTACACGGCGTTCGTCTCCAGAATGGCAGTATCGTCTCCTGCGAGCTGTTGTGCCACCCAAGGGCACGCCATCGCCGAGATCCACTCCCGAGCGTGCACGGTGCACAGGACGAGCAGGCCAGGCTTGGTGGGGTCGCCGTACTGATAGACGAGCACCTGAGATGACGTGCGGGGTGCGGTGAGCTTCCGTCGGGAGGGCAAGGCCACGTGCGGAGGCAATACCTCTCGACCCTCGTGAGAACGCCCAGCAACATTTCTGGAGGTGAAGTCGGTATTGTCCATAAAGGTGACAATCTCGTCGAATGTCTTGTACGCCTCGAACCAGGAGTCGGTTGAAGGCGCCGGAAGCCCGGGCAGGAGCGCGAGCAGCGAGAGCATTGCGCGACCCGGACGGGGCCCCAGCCTTGTTCGTTTTGCGGATCCTTGTTGGGGCAATGCATGCGCGCGGAACTTATCCCCCTCGGACATACACATGCTGCATGCACACGCGCATGCACATGCAGCGTGTGTGTTTCGCTCTTCTCCTCCTCCTCCTCCCCCCCCTCCTCCTCCTCGGCGCCGTGCGCCTGCGCCGCTGAGTCCTGAGACGCTTGCGCTGACGCTCCAATATATATATAATAGAAATCTCGCGTCCTGACCCACAGCATGCATGATCGTCTTTCCTGTGGTCGCCCTGTTCCGCAGGTGCACGGCCCAGCATAATGATAAATACGCGGAGCGCACGACACGTCGTCGGCGAGCTCCCTGGCGTTCGCACAGTGCAGCTTCACTCTCACAGACCCCGTGCGAGTCCCCGACACACGACGTGCGTGGCGATCCCCCGTACACACAAGAACACCGAATCACACGGCCGGGGCTTACGCCACGGGCGTCTCTTCCACCGGCGGTGTGTCGCGCCCGAGGTAGCTCGAGACCGACTTCTTTAGCGTATCGAAGAGGGTAGGCTCCGCTGCCGCAGCCTCGGCCGTCGCGTGCGCGTAGGCAGCTGCCACCTCGTCGACCTCGTCGTACTCGGCACGGGTGACAGACATCTCCTTGGCCAGTGCCATATCGAAGCTCCTTAGGCCATAATCGCGCCACTGCAAGCGCGCCGCCTCGAGTTCCTCCTCCGACAGACGGCCGCCCGGAGTTCCTGCCGGTTTGGCCTCGGCCAGCACCACCTCCTCCTCGGCCGCTGCCTCCTCCTTTGACGCCGCCGCCTCGCCCGATGCTGACTTGCTCAGACAGCGAGCGCCCACGCACTTCTCGGCAGCGTCTGCAAGTATCCCGCTCAGGCGTTGCACGAGGTTGGGCACCTCGGCGGCCGCGGTGTCGGTCTCGGGAACGGGATCAGTGGAGGTTGCGCCCTGGTCGGTGACCTCCGCAACATCGCGAGTCGCGCCGATGTCGGCCTCGCTCTTGCCACGCTTGGACAGACGCTTCTTGAGGCTTTTGAGCATGCGCTTGCGGAGGGCAACCATGACGGGTGGAAGAAGGGGACGTGCGTACGTGACTAAGCGCTTGGTGACGTCGCCAGGGCCACGCGGGCTCGAGCTTCCAAAACTAAGAACTCAACACCAGCATAACCTTATTGGTTCGTTGGCTTCTATTTATCTAGACATATCCGAGCCACAAACAAACAAACAGCAACACAACTTGGTATTGCTAAAATCTTCTAAACAAAACAGACACGCTGCATTTGCCCCCTCCCCTCCAGCTCTCCAAACGCACGATTCACAGAAAGAAAGAAACCCCACGGGAAAGGCCACACACACACACAGGCACCAGGGTCCAGGCTGCCATTAAAAAGGGTTTGGCGGCAGCGGCTTCTGTGAACTCGCGGGAGCTCGGCGCTGCGGAGCGCTGCTCCCTCCCTATTGCCCCCTGTGATGGGTTCTCCTCCCACACTGAGCAGCTGGAAGTGGCCGGCGGCGGCAACAGCGTGTGTGTGTGTGTGTGGTGTGTGTGTGTGGTGTGTGTGTGTGGTGTGTGTGTGTGGTGTGTGGTGTGTGTGTGTGTGTGTGTGTGTGTGTGTGGTGTGTGTGTGTGTGTGTGTGTGGTGTGTGTGTGTGTGTGTGTGTGTGTGTTGCGCGCCGATTTTTACTGTCGAGCCGACCTGGATTCCAACTTTTTGCGGGGTAAGGTATGGTAGGGTCGGCGCCAAAAGGGTGGGGGGGTATGGTCCTGGCCGCCGGAGGCGACCTGCTCGACGGGTGGGGGGGTATGGTCAATCGCTGGAGCGGCCACGTTACAACAGGGTTCGAACCCAGTACACAGCCGCCCTAAGGATCCCTACACAGCCGCGGACACGATGCCGACTCACGGCGGCCCCGGCCGCTTCGATACTGTCGCGGGCCTTCTCGCCGCGACGCCGCCTCAACTTCGGCTCCTGGACAGCTCGCTGCCCGACGACGCCGAGCGCGCCGCTGTGCGCAGCTGCTGCGCTGGTACGCTTGCGTCTTGCATCGCACAGCTCGACGCTGCGATTGCACCGCATGCCGTCCGCATGATGGACGGGAGGCTTCCGACAAGCGACGCTTTCCGTGGCGACGACCACGATCTCAGCAAGCTGAAGGCGCTCAAAACTGTCGCCACGATGGTCCTGCAGGACGGACCGGTGCTCTATCGCGAGGCCTGCGCGAGTCTCGTCCACGCGCGCTCCACCTTCTTCTCGGACCTCAACGCGGCGCTCGATGCCGATGTCTTTGATTCTGCCTTTCGATTCAAATCGCCGTCGTGGCTCGCGAAGCGCGCGGGGCATGAGCTGTTGGCGCGCGTACCGCTCGTGCGCGTGCCTTTGGCCAGCTATGGCGCGGAGGGCGGCGTGCGATGGCGGAGGCGGAGGTGGCGCCAGCGGAGGCGGCGGAGGCGGAGGCCGTTCCAGCGGAGGTGACCATGGTTCCAGCGGAGGTGACCATGGCGGAGGCGGCGCCGGCGGAGACCGCGCCCGCGCCCGCGCCCGAGGTGACCATGGCGGAGGCGGCGCCGGCGGAGACCGCGCCCGCGCCCGCGCCCGCGCTCGCACCGGCCTGCGCCCGCGCCTGCGCCGGCACGCAAGGCCCTGGCGGCCTTTGCGGACATGCTCTGAGGGGTGAGCACGATTGCCGGCGGGTCACCTCGCGCAGACTGCATCGCGCGAACACGTGCCGCACGACCGAACGGCCTAACACGACGGTTACTGTACGCGCTCGTGTGGTGGGGTGGGGGGTGGGGGGGTATGGTCCTGCTGGCCAGAGGCGACGTCCTGTGCGGGTGGGGGGGTATGGTCGCGGCGCCAGGGCGCCGACGCTACCATACCATACCCCGCAAAAAGTCCGAACCCTGACAGCCCTCCACAGTGATACGACTACAGTCGTACCGCGGGCTGGATATACGACAGCTGTGTCCCACACCGACGCACCCACAGTCGCCGATCGCTCGTCGCATTTTATGGAGCCCTACTCCGCGCACTCCATCGAGCGGGCCCTTCGCGAAGGCGATGTGCTTCGCGGCCTGTCGCTCGGCTGGCAGGGCAGCTTCGTGCTGCACCGGCTGGTGCAGCACGGCGATGGGGAGCGTCGGGTGCGCCTAGAGAAGCGCTCGCGAAGCATCGGGCTGGACCTGTGCAACGAACGAGGCGTCGCCCTCGTGCGCAGCATCCACCGCTCAGCCGCGGCTGCCATTGGAGACGAGATACGGCCGGGCGACGTGGTCCGCTCGGTCGACGGCCAGGTCTACTTCACCTGCGAGGCGGTCGTTGAGGTGCTCCGCTCGCACCGCAAGGGCGAGATCTCGCTGGGCTTGCTGCGCGCCCCGGCGGCGGCCTCGCCGCCGCCCGAGCCGTCCGCCGACTGGAGCGAGGCGGGCGGCGTGCAGTTGCGCGCTGGCGAGAACAAGAGTGTCGCCTTCGCGGCGCCCGGGCCGGCCGTGCTGCAGTACTCCTTCCGCGCCGCGGCCCACGACATCTGCTTCCGAGTCACGTATGTGGGCGAGCTGGACGCGAGGGAGCCGGCGGCCGCGGGCGGCTCCGGCCTCGGGCGCGGGAGGCTGCTCGACGTGCGCGCGGGCTCGCGCGAGGGGTCGCTCGCGCTGCCAAACGGCGGGCGGTACGTTGCGGCGCTCGACAACTCGCACTCGCTGCTGCGCTCCAAGGACGTCAGCTTCGAGCTGCGGCTGCTGCGAAAGGCGTCCGTCCTGGCGGCGGAGCGGCGCGGCGCGAGCGCGAGGCTCGAGACGGAGCTCGACGGGCGGGCGCAGCGGGCGGCGGAGCTCGCGAGGCACATCGCCATCACGGAGCCAAAGCTGGCGGCGCTCCGCAAGCAGCTGGGCGAGGTGGAGGCGACGCTGCAGCGGGCGCGCGTGGACCAGCGCGAGAACGAGCGGCTGCTCCGGGAGGGGCAGCTCCGACTGGCCGCGCTGCAGGGGGGGGGGGAGGGGAAGGGTGGAGGGGCGGCTGTGGGTGCGAGAGCGGTCAAACACTGAGAACGCCCCTTGCACGCGTGGCGGTTGGTTTATTTGGGTTAGTTCTGTCTGTGCCGTCATTGTGCGTACTGGGGTCCATTTTGTTCTCGCGCGCGTGTCGGGAGGTGACGGTGTGAAGTCGTGAGACTCGTGTGTTCCGCTCATGCGAAGTACTGTACTCCGACTACGCTAAAGACTGAACGACGCGATTTTTACGGGGCTTGCTGCGCTCGAAAGTTGTGTCACTTAACCCGCCCCAACCCGCCCTTTGGCGCCAAGTGTTCTAGCGCTCCCCTAGAGTGCCCAGGACCACCCTAGGGAGTATGAGGGTGTTGTATTGGCTGCTTGCGCAAATACAGAGAGATATGGGGGCACATGGAGGCCGCCGTCACCAACGGTTAAACACCCCGGGGAGGCCCCAGAGCTAAGCATCCGAACGCCTGACCCTCCCCTTAGTCGCAAGATGTGAGTGCACCCTAGGGCATCCAGTACTACTCTAGGGGGCATCAGTGTGTGGAATGTGATGCTGTTGGGTTCACACAGCAGTAAGGTGGCTCATAGAAGCCACCTGCACCCCGGTCCAAGCGAGCTCCCCGGGAGGCTCTTCACACGACAGCTCTCAACCGGCCCACACACGCACACACACACACTCACTCATCCAGAGACTGGAGGGAGCTGGCCATGGCAGTAGCCAACATGGTCCCAGCCTCCCTTGGCCACAGGCCTCCTGCACTTCTTGCAGAGGTTGACCTTGCACACGACGCAGCCCAACCGTGGCTCCGGGACACGCAGGCCGCTAGGCAGATAGAAGCGTGCGTGCCCCCCCGGCGTCTGCTGCGACGAGCCCTCCACCTCCTCACAGAGTAGCAGGCAGCCAGCACAGTTGCTCCTGCCACCAGAAGGGAGGCCAAGCCGCAGCCGCTCACGCGTGCTAAAGTCCGTCTTGAAGTTCTTAATCTCGTGGACCTCTGGGAACAGGCCTGGCAGAGGCCGAGCACGCCGCTGCTGCTGGCGCGACATCCAGTGCGGCGCGAGGTTCGAGCGAGCCCGCTGGTCGGCGTCGCCCAGCTCCTGCTTGGCTAGCCACACACCCAAGTCGCAGAGGCTCTCGGCGAGCAGCATCTGCGAGAAGCGAAGGATGCCGCCGACGTTCTTGGCGCGCCGCTTCAGCTTGCCGAGCACCGCGGCCGGAATGAGCCAGCAGACGATCGTGACGGTGTTGCAGACCAGCATCGCCAAGTGAAAGCCGATAAACAGCGCACGGGTGTAGCGCTGCCTGCAGTAGCCCATGGAGATGTTCGTGCTCTGGTGCCGGTCGTTGTAGCGGTCGACGTGCGGCATGTGCTTCTGGTACAGCTTGGCCATCCGTGAGCATGCGATGAGGATGTAGGCCTTGGAGGTCTTGGACCAGCGGCGTACCTGGACGTCGCTGACCTCGAAGATGACGGTCCCGATGAGGGTGCAGAAGCGCGAGTCGAGCCACACCTCCGCCTTGAGGTACCACTTGCGCCCGTGCGCGTCCTGGAGCTGCTGGTACGCCTCGCGCCGCGCGCCGCGCGCCCAGCCGACGAGGTTGTCCATCGTCGGGAAGCGGAAGGGGAAGTAGTGGCGCGCTCCGCGAGGAGTACTCACAGGCCTGCCCTTGGTGCGGAGCATGCCGACCAGGAAGATGCCGCACGACGCGAGGTACATGGCAGCCGTTATGCTCGTGTAGCCCTTGTCCGTCACGACGGTCATGCCGGTGCCGTGGAACTCGGGTCGGCCGGCGAGCGTCTTCACGATGTTCACGATGAAGCCGGAGTTGTCCTCGTCGAGCGGAGCTGTGTCAGTTGGCTGCCCGAGCGGGAGCGGCGTGTCGGCAGCTGCCCCGAGGAACCACTCCCACGCGTAGAGGTAGCCGCTCTCGAAGACAAAGGTGTACACGGTGCAGCCGTCCTTGATCGGCTTGCACATCATCTGCTGCCTGAACGGGCAGTACTGCGAGTGGGTGGCAACCCGCGACTCGTCGAGGCAGGCGAAGGGCTCCGGGTCCCACGCCCACGTAGCTGCGAGGAGGAGGGCCTTGTCGACATATCGCAGCTTGCGGAACGGGTCGGTGGGGTACCGCATGCTGCCGGGGAGCTCAAAGGACAGGTGGGCCTGCACCTCGACGAAGCGGTCCTTCGTCATCAGCGCAACGTAGTCCACCTGCGGGGTGGTGTGGGGGTGAGAGGGGTGCAACACTGTGAGATGGGCAGCTCTCGATAGCGCACTCGGTCAGCAGGTCGGTTGCTCCAATAGCACGCCAGGTTTGGCCGCCAGTGGACGCCCTGGAGGCGAGGTTGTCCTCGGGCTCGAAGGAGGAGTCGTAGGTCTCGTCTGTCGTCGGGTCGGGCTCCCACTCAATCTCGTACTCGAGCTTCCCGCCCCACACCCGCTTGAGCGCCAAGATCCTCCGCACCGCGTAAAGCGGTTCGCTCTCACTCGCGCTCTCGCCATCATCGGCGTCGCGCGAGCTGCTCGCTCCCGAGGGCGGCGAGAACCTACAGGGGTCGCGGCGCATCATGTGAGAGGAAAGTCAAGTGTCGCCGCTCTCGCCGCTCTCGCCGCTCGCCCGCCGCCGAAGGCACCCTCGCTCGGCGTCGTCGCGTCGCTCCTGTCGTCGTACATCGCCACGAAACGGTCCTCCTCCTCGCGCTGCTCCTCCTCGGCCTCATTGCGCGAGCGGGCCGTCGCCGCCTTGGCCGCCCGCGCGGGCGGTCGCCCCATCTGCTCCTTCTCGCTGTCGTAGTCGCCGTCGGAGAGCTCGCAGCGGTCGTACCCCGGCACCTCCCGCCTCTCCACCTCCTGCCCTGGCCGCGACCCGACGCCGCTCCGCGTGCGCCTCTTGCCCAGCAGCGCCGCGGACGGTGGCGGGTCGTTGCGCCGCCGCCCGCCAGGCGGCGCCGAGCGTGCCCGGCTAGAGGAGCCGCCAACGCCACCCGCCGCCACCCTGCGCCTAGCACCGCCACCTGCCTCGGCAGCTGCCGACACCGCCGTCCTCCGCGCCGCGGGTGCCGCCGCGGGTGCCGCCGCAGGAGCCGGCTCCCGCGGCGCTGGCGCCGCCGCCTCCGCCTCTCGCCTTGCGTCGGCATCTCCCGCTGCTGTAGAGGTGGCGGCGGCGGCGAGAGAGCGAGTCTGCCGACGCGGCGGCGCCACCGAATCCCGCTCGGGCACCGACGCGCTGGCCGCTGCCTCCGTCTCTTCGGTGCCGGGCCGCATCGCGGGCTTTGGCCGCCTCGCGCTGGCTGATCGCCGCACCGCCCCAGCCTGCTGTGCCTGCCTGGCGGCGTCGCGGTGCTCGATCATGCGGTCCCGCTGCAGCGAGCGGGTCTGCCTCTTGCACGCGCGGATGAGAGCGTCGGGGCTCTCGGGCACGCTGGCAGTGCCAGCGGGGCGCTGACGCGAACGGCTTCGCTGCGCAGGTCTCGAGCCAGCCGGCGCCGCCTGCTGTCTCCCGCTGTTTGCTCCAGCCGGTCCGTCGCCAGCTGTGTTGCCCTTGCCGCTGGAGGAGCGAAGAGCAGCCCGGCGCCGCAGAGGCGGCGCCTGCGAGAGCTCCGACGCCTCGGACACGCTGCTATTGCGTGCAGCACGCGACATGAAGACCGTCGCTCTCCGGTCTACCTGTCGCACAGCAACTCGTGGCAACAGCGACAAACGCAGCGGGCGCGATTTCTTTCTTCCGCCGAGAAGGCACGCGCTACAAAAACAAAACTCGTAGCCACGAACGCTCAGCACTGCTCATTCTCTCTTCTCTGGTGGTCTGGCACGACTGGCAGGCAGGGGTCACGCTTGAGGCTTGTGAAGTTTGTGAGGTGAGACCGAAGGTCTCAAGGAGGTCAGGTGGGGGACGTCCTTTGAGTGCGGGTGAAGAATAGAAGGCTCAGACTCGGCACAAAGCCGCATACATGGCCGCAACAGTGCGCGCCCGCAGCCGCCAGGTCGGTCTGGGTGAGCCGAGTGGAGGTCCACGCCAGCGGGCAGACCAGCACAAACCCGAATCCCACCAATCTGGAAGAGTTGGTCTGGTGGCGCCCGTTATCGCCCTTGTCGCCGAGGGAGAGCGAGCAGCGCAGCACCACACAACATGCCCGGAATAGGCGTCGACGACACATCAGCAGGCGAGGCGCAAAGAAGAGGCAGAGCACGCAACACGCTGCAGCTTGGCTGTGGGCGGTCTGGCAGCAACCATCGAGCGAGCCGGCGACAAAGCCAGCGCCCTCTGTACCCAGGGTGTTGTGCGAGACTCATACGTCGTCGCGGCGAACCGCTGTGCCAAGCACCCACCTTTCCAACCCGCCGCCGACGCTCGCTCGGCTGGGTCATCGGCGAGGAGTGCCGCCGATGCAAGAGTGGGCGGTCGCAGCAGCTCGTAGCGCTTGCCATGGCTGCCGCACACCCGGGCACAGTCACAGGCCGCGACAGGGACCCTTGGGACGGGCTGAGTGCACGCTGCGGGCTCGCACAGTGTCGGCGCGAAGCAAATTTTCTCTAAGTGAACCAGGGATATATGCTTTTTCGAAAACTCGGCGCGAAAACGAACTTTTTGTACGAACAAAAGTGCCCCTGGCGGATGTGAGGTTACCCTCCGACTGCACTCCAAGTGCTCCAAGTGCACCTCCACCACACGCCGTGTACTGGAAATCACTGTGTGGTGGGGCGTTGTGCCGTCCTTTTCCACCGCGAATTTTCGGTGTATGTGGCTCTTAGGAACATTAATACCCGAGAGGAAATGTTCCAGAGCGCTGTAGAGCTGTAGAGATGTAGAGCGCTCTGGAGCGCTGTAGAGCTGTAGAGCTCTACATCCGCCGCGTGACGATGTGAGGGTGCGTTGTAGAGCGATCTAGAGCGCGATTTTGCTGTAGAGTTTGTGGTAGAGGCTCTACAGCCAAACCGCCGGGAAGGCAGTGACTCAAGGAGGTCGAGCCGCGCTCCAATGGGGTGTCTCCGAGCTTAGTGGAGCTCTGATGGACGGCCCTGACTATCCCTGAGACACAGGGAGTCAGTCTGACGGCACACAACACCCTATAACTATATGATGTAGAGTTTGTTGTGATCTGTGATCTGTGATGAGGGTCCGCCCGCAGGCGCATTTTGTATACCGAGGCGGTGCCCGGTGCCGAACCTGTCGGACCTTAAGACAGCATTGTAGATCCCTGCACCCTGGGCGAGGGTGATGGAGTCCCCGTCTGTTGTATAGAGATTTCACGTTGTAGAGCGCCTCTATCTACATCGTTTCGGATCCATGACTACATCGGACTCACATCGTCACGCGCCGGATGTAGAGCTCTACAGCTCTACAGCGCTCCAGAGCGCTCTACATCTCTACAGCTCTACACAGCGCTCTACACTCTACATCCTCTACACCCTCCCTCAGGTTGCTAGCTAGCCGTCGCCCACCCTTGCTTGGGCGATGGGCGTCTGCCTCTTCCTCTCTCTCTTCGCAGTCCCTCGCTGCAACCTTCATGCCACCTCGCGCGGTCGTCCCACTCTCGTCATTCTCCCTCCTGTCGCTTCATCCTCTGTCGCGTCGCTCTCCTCTGCCTCGTTTCTGCGACGATGCCGCCGCCTGCCGATCCCTTGCTCTCGCGGCTTCTTCTCGGCGCAACTCCGCCCTCCTCGCGGCGTGTTTTGGCCCCTCGAGTTTATCAAGCTCTTGGCGCAAGGACGACTTTTGTAATTTAAGGGAGTTAAACCTCTCATTACTCGAGGTTTTCTTTCTCCGAGGTGTACCTGTGTTAGTGCCAGTGCGCGCCAGTCCCGTGCCCAATGTCGTGCGAGGGAGTTAAGTTGTAAAATTCTGTGCTGTGAGCGACAGTTGTGTGGTTTAAACAGTAGGGGGAGGGCTCCCAGGGCTTGGAGGTCTTTTCAGTTGCAACCATCGCGAGATCCACACACTAACACAGACATCTGAAGAAAGGAAAGACGCGGGAACATCGTTCGACCTCGTGTGACATGTTGTATGGCCACACCTCCCGAGAAGGTCACGGTCCCGCGAGAAGGTCGAAGAGAAGGTCTCGGGCTCGATCGCGATGGATTACCCCGACTTTTCGCTTACCCGCGCCTCTTGCCCTTGCCCTTGCCCTTGCCCTTGCCCTTGCCCTTGCCCCCAGTGATCGGCGGCGCCGGGCCCTTGTCGCTCGTCCAAAGTTGCCCGTGCATGTGGTGGTTGATGCAGCTGATGTACCGCTCCTCGTGAATCGACTTCTTGCCATTCCGAGGAGTTTTGTAGGCCGTGTGCCCCTTTTCGCTGCAGAGGGAGCAAGTGTACTTGGGGGGCTTCTGCACCTCGGACTCCGATTCGTATTCGGAGGGCGACCCGTCCGACGACTCCGAAGGCGTCCCGGCCGACGAGTCCTGAGGGGTGGTTGCCACACGCGGGAGTGACTGTGGGAGGGAGGGGGGGGGGGGGCGAAGGGGGGCACGGGGAGTGGAGTGGTGGCACCTCCTGGTCCGCAGCCTCCCAGTACGCCGCCGCCTCGGCCACCTCGGCCGCCTTGTCCGCCGCCTCCCGGTACGCCCTCGCCTCGGCGGCCGCCGCATCGGCCGCCGCCGCCCCCTTCTTAGCCTCTTCAGCGAATTGTGCCGCCCACGCCGCCGCCTCGCGGAGGTCAGCGTCCCCGCCTGCTGCGTCTCCGCCGCCTTCTTCGCCGCCGTCGCAAGCTTCTGCAGAACCACCGCGTTCGCCGCCACCTTCGCCGCGACCTCCTCACTGTCTTGCGCGAGCTCGCTGGCCACGCGCGAGCTAATCTCCAAAACCTCCCCCTCAATGGACTCGGGCTTCTCCTCAATCGCCTCTCCAACGGTGCACGTCGCCAACGCCAGTCGAAGCGCCTCGAGAGCCGCCTGGTGGTCCGCCTCGAGAGCCGCCTGGTGGTCGAGGTCCTGCTGGGTGCGGGAACGGCAGGGGTCATGTCGCGCGCACCGGGCGGCGCCGTGCTCGCAGCAGCCGGGATCGCGGCAGAGTATGGTGGAGAGCTCTACCCGCGCACCTGCCCAGCGAGGAGCTCGACGCCGCTCCTGGCCGGCGAGGCAGGGATCTCGGCGACGTTGGAATGGAGAGCGGGCGCACGATGTCGTGCGTGGGCGACGCCCGTCCGCAGCTGACACGTCGTCGTGGTGACGATGATGGCGAGGAGCAGCATCACGGTGGAGAGGAGCGTCCCGGCGCTGCTTGGGCTCGCTCGAGTTTCCGGTCTGGGCGCGGCATGCGCACGGGTTTTTCTCGTATGAGGGCTTACAGGTCGGTTGCAAGAATTCTCTGTCGACCCGGGGACCCTGGTCGCGGGCTCGGCGGCGACATCCGGAGGTATACACCGCGGTCGCCCGCTGTTCGCCATCCTGGTGCGGGGCGGCGCTCGAGTGAGCTCGTCGCTGCATGAAACAACAATTCAAAAAAATTAAAGGGGCGTTGAACCGCGCCAGCACGAGGCCTGAGCCCGGCCCGGACGCGATGGATGACTCCGCGGTCGAGGACTCGGACCCGCCATGCAGCGATGCCGAGTCGAGCACAAGCGAGCGGCGGCCAAACGCGGCACGCCGCCCGAGCCCTGTCAACGCAGAGCGTCCGCAGCCGGCGGCGCGCGCCTCCTCCTCGGAGGGGATGGAGATCAGCCCTGTGCCGTCGCTAGACAGGGCTACTTCTCGCCCACCGAGGCCTCTCTGGTCGAACCGGCCAGACGGCACCAGCTTTAGCCCCGGGCCTCCGCCGCCGATGTGGTCGAATCGGCCGGCCGCCGCCGCTAGCAACCCGCCGGCGGCTGTCGGCGGCGAGGGCTCTTCCAGCAGCGTCGGCAGCTGCGTCCCGCGCAGGCGAGAGTGGCTGCGGCGGCGCCCTGACAGGGGAATCCATCTCGCGACTGTAGGCAGCGGCCTGTCGAGGGTAGAGGCCGCCGCGCCCGAGCCGAGCGCGGGCGGCAGCGTGCGGCTCCCGCTGCCGCCGCAGATCCATAAGTGCTCCGACTCGACCGATTCCGCAATCAGCTTGGCGGAGGGCTCCTCGCCGATGTCGGCCACTTGTCGGCTGACGGTGCAGCCGCCCGTGACGTGGCCGACGCCAAACTCGTCGCCCGGCCCGTCGCCCGGGCCGTCTCCGCAGGGCGAGGGCGAGGGGCCGCTCGCCTTCGGTGAGGCGCTCAAGGAGAAGCCGAAGAAGTACATCACGCAGTACGAGCTCGGCCGCACCCTCGGTTAGGGGCCCCAGCTGCGGCGCGCCTCCGCACAGCGACCGGCCCTGAGGAGGCGCTGTCCGCACCGCAGGCAAGGGCTCGTACGCAAAGGTCAAGATCTGCTTCGACACCGAGGACGAGAAGAGGCCGTACGCAATCAAAATCTTCAACAAGTCGCTGCTCAAGCGGAGGCGGATGTGGTCGTCGGCCGAAAAGTCGCACCGCCGGAGGAGGGAGAGGGCCGGGCCGCGGCGGTGGCGTGTGAGCCGCGGCACGTTGGAGCGGTAGGTCGTACAAGACCGCCTTCGACGATGTGCTGCGCGAGATTGCAATCATGCGCAAGCTGCGGCACGAGAACGTGATGGCGCTCCGCGACGTCATCGACGACGCGTCCATCAACAAGCTCTACATGGCGAGCTAGCCGAGATGCAGCCGAGATGTGGAGATGCGGCTGAGGTGCAGCCGAGGGGGCGAACCGGACCGAGCGCGCGGCGCCGAGGCGCCAGACCCGCCCCAGACCCGCCCCAGACCCGCCCCCCCCCCCCCCCCGGCCTTGCCTTTTTCCCGCCCGGCAGGGGATGGGGTACTGCAAGCGGGGGGGGATCATGGATTCGCACAAGATCAACCCTTCGACCGAGCCGCTGCATTGGGACGACTCCCCCCGTTGGTTCACCGACGGGGTCCCCGGGTTTGACTACCTCCACTACCAGGAAATGGTCCATTTGGACCTGAAGCCCGACAACATCTTGTTCGCGGAGGACAACGGGGCCGTCATCGCCGATTTTGGGGTCCCCCCCCCCCCCCCCCCCGACCTCTCATGCTGTACTACGACCCCGTGTCATCTCAATGCAATAGGCGTCTCGCGCACCATCCTCTCCGACCTCGCCGAGGAGGGGGGCGACGCCGGCCTCACCGTCGGCAGCCCGGGCACGCCCTCCTACACCGCGCCCGAGGTGTGGGGGCAGGGCAAGTACGAGCCGCGCGGTGCGGACGTGTGGGCGCTCGGCGTCACGCTGCACGCGATGGCGTTCGGCACGCTGCCTTTCTTCTCGGTCGACCAGCAGCAGCTCATCGAGATGGTGACGTCGCCCGCCGAATGGGAGTGCGCGCAGCAGAGCGAGGACGCGTCGCTGCTCGACCTGCTGCACGGCGTGCTAACCCTAACCCTAACCCTAACCCTAACCCTAATCCTAACCCTAACCCTAACCCTAACCCTAACCGCTGCTCGATCTGCTGCACGGCGTGCTGCACTCCTCCCGAGATTACCCGAGATTACCCGAGATTACCCGAGATTGCTCGACCTGCTGCACGGCGTGCTCCGCTACCCGTCCGAGGAGTGATCTCGTGCAATCTCGGGTCATCTCGGGTAATCTCGGGTCATCTCGGCCAGGCGTGCTCCGCAAGCGGCCCGAGGAGCGCATGTCGCTCGGCGCCGTCAAGCAGCACGTGCGTGTCCGGCGCGAGCCAACCCGGACCGAGAGCGTGAGCGTGACCCTAGGCGCTGTCAAGCAGCACACGTACGTGCGGCGCGAGCTCGGACGGCGCGCCGACGTCGAGTACGAGCAGATCACTGTGTCAGAGGAGGAGCTGCGCAAGGCCGTCATCACGGGCCACATCGAGAACTTCCGGCGGACGAAGCGCGGCACGCTGCACAAGACGACGCTGCGCGAGGAGTACGAGATGTACACCAAGCTGGCCGACAAGCTCGACTACCTGCCAAAGCTGATCGACGTCAAGGAGACGCTCGGCAAGCGGGTGATGATGGAGATGCAGGACCGGACGCACGGGTCTATATCTCGGCTATATCTCGCCTACATCTCGCCCACAGGTCATCATCGAGATGCAGGATCTGACGCACGGGGTGCAGGGGCCGTGCCTGATGGACCTCAAGATGGGGCAGCGAACCTTCATGGAGGAGGACGCCACCGACGACAAGATTCGGCCCGACCTGCTCGAAAAGATGCTCAAGGCGCGAGATTGAGCCGAGATCTCGACCCGCCGACTCGCCGGGAGCCTTTTGTGGCTGCGTCCTCGCCGTCCTCGCCGTCTTCTCACGCCGCCGCCCGCAGCCCGCCGCCCGCCGCCCGTCGCAGGTGCAGCTCGACGCGGCGACCGACGAGGAGCGGCGCGCCGGCGGCATCTCAAAGATGCGCTACCTGCAGTTCCGCGAGACCACCTCCTCGACGAGCACGCTTGGCTTCCGGGTCCGCGCCGCCCGCGGGAAGGCGGGTGTGTGTGGCGGCCAGCGTGGAAGACGGCTGCTCGCCCTTCGGCAGGTGGACGCGATCCGACTCGCCGACGGCGTCGACGCGAACTGCCCCGACGCGCAAGCGCTCAAGAAGATCACCACCGAGGAGCGCGTCGGGGAGGCGGTGCTGCAGTACGTGCAAGGGCGGCTGGTCCTGCTGCAGTCCTTCCTCAAGAGCCTGCTCCAGCTGCGCACCGCCCTCGAGGCGTGCGATGCCTTTTTGACGCACGCCTTCATCCGCACCTCGCTGCTGCTCATCTACTCGGACGCGACGAACAACACCTCGCTCCACATGATCGACCTCTCGCGCGCGTACCCCGCCGGCTGCCGCCTCTCCCACCGCGTGGCGTGGGAGGCGGGCAACCACGAGGACGGCTACCTCACCGGCCTCGACAACCTGATTCGCATCCTCGAGCGGCTCGTGCATCGACGGGCGCAGCAGCAGGCCGCGCAGCTACGCGACTCCGCCCCGCCGCCGCGGCTCGGCCCCGCCGCCGCTGGGTCGTCGGGGTCGCTGCCTCCGCCTCCCATGTGGTCAAACCGGCCCCGCCCTCGCAACGCCTCGTCGGCAGCGTCCTCTGCCGCAGGGTCCTCGTCAGTGCACACGCCCGGCCCCGGCGAGCCCGGCGGCCCTCCGCCCCCCCTCTGGTCAAACCGGCCTCGGTAACTCCCGGTCCTCGCTGTAATCCTCGCGCGCCGTTCGATGCGAGCTCCCCTTTGCGCGGTCTTTCGAGTCTCGTGGCTCTTCATTTCCTCGTAGTCGAGCCTTCTTTTCTCTCGCGTTGTCTCTCGTTTCCACATTCCAGCCGCAGCTCCCCCTCGGCACACGGCGCGCCGCGGGGACACGCACCTCACTCTCTCCTCGCAGTCCTCGCCAGACGCCACCGCCACCGCCCCCACACCCGCAAGTCCGCTGATTTTTTTGTAAATTCTGGAGCCACAAGCACAACGCGGCACAAGTACCCACAAGTCCAGAGGCAGCTGCGACCCCG